GAGATGCTACTTGGCGGTCCTCTTGACAACTGAATGCGACAGATGTGACATGATATATACGTATTAATGAAGGATTACTCCGGAAGCGTAAGGGCCCCTTCCCACGTGCAGCGGACGTCCGCTGCTGCGTTAAGTGGTGGCGGACGACTACGCTAAGGACTCGCGCGGGCTCGCGCTACGCAGGAGGGGGTCCCGCCACCGCTAGCCTTTCCACTGCGCGACGGCCGCAGCGCAGAGCTGCTGTTTAGACCTGCTGAGATCCCTATGTCAGTCGTCACCGCAGTGTCGGCGAAGAGCTCTGTTGATTGACGTACGCGCGCTGCCGTGGCGGCGTGGGAAGGCGCTCTATAACTCCCTAGCCCCGCGGGGCGTGGAGACGCGTCGCGTCAACAAAATATGGAACTCTGTCGAAGCAACAAGATTGCGTAGAGTTTCTGGCCCAGGAAAGCTGCCAAACACATATTCCATCGGCCAAGAATGTAGTGTCCAACTAAAATGAAAGTGTATAAACATTAAATAATTTGCGTAAGGCGACAAAGTTGTGTTTAATGTAGATGAGAGAATCGCAGGCGGTGAGAAAGTAATAGATATCGGGCGAATGATGAATTGTCTGGAGTAATCTAGTATGCGGCGCAGGATGAAACAAATAGCTTGATTTTTTTTTAAATATATCAGTAAATAAAATTCGGAGAAAGGCAGGAATCGCGGGTCGCACTTACTGCTACTGGACTCTCTTGATTTGGCTTTCAAGCACATTTACACTTTTCTTTGTCATATTTTGTATGTACACATTTAAGTTTCTGTCTGTCAACTTACACACTTCTTTCAACCCTAATTTCCTCATTTTTATGCTTGCAACAAACACACTTGCACTTTCCAAGTTATCTACACTTGTTCTTTAAATACACAACTTCTGCACATTTGTAAATACACTGCACATTGTCATGTATTATCTATTGTTTTGTTTATACACTTTCTTCTGAAACATATGCCACATGAATTTAAATATGTACACAAATCTTCATAGCTGCATGCAGGTTTGCCCAGAACAGAATCAACGCTAAACCTTTTGTTCTTCTTGAGCTTGGCCATGGGCAAGGGTGTTTCCTGTGGGAAGTTTGAGTGTTTACTGCCATTTGAGATGGCTTTAAACCAGCATTTTCTTCTCACAGTTTAACTGATTCTCTTGAAAGTGAAATATCTTAACGTCATATACAGTAAAACCTGTCTAAGGCGGGACCTAGAAAAGGTAGAAAGCTGCCTTTGCAGGAGAAAAAATCTCACAACAAACCATTTTCCAATGTCAAGTACACTGGATAAGCCAGAAACCTGCCCAATGCAGAAACGGAATGTTATTAATTTTTAGTACACTGGTATTCAAAAATTTAAGTAGGCCGGAAAACAAGTATTGTTTTACACATATCCATTTACTGCCAACTATACAAAAACACCCAGCAAAAATACCAATTAGAAGGCAGACACTATAAATTTCTTAATTCTAAAGATTACCAAAAGAAAGTTATTGATTTTGTTATAGAAGTGAATACGTACAATAGCTTTTAGAGGAACTACTTACTATACTCACATTGTTTTGTTTTCATCCTGACTTTGATCATGAATAAGTTTCTCAATTTTGTATTGTAATTGTAAAATGTATCTATCAGTTAGTCTCTAATGACCTCGATACCGTTCTGACTATTAATAAATAATTTAAAAATTAAACATTGATTTGTGTGGTGACATTGTACCAAGAGACACAGGGCTGTGGCTCGTCCATTTGCTTTCTCAGCTACCCTCGCCTGAATGTCGTATTTCCTAGGCTACTCTTGTGAAAGTCACTGTTTATTTTTACTATCACTGACCTTCACAATCCTGTATGATGGCATGAGACATACAAAGGGTGATCCTTCCACAGTTCTTCTAATGTGTACTTTGCATTCAGTGTTTCTGAACATTTACTGTTTTTCAGTTTGACGAGTTGCAGGTATTGTGTTAATGAAGTGTTTATGATGTGAATTAGACTGAAGAACACAAAGCAATGCTTCTGTCAAGGTTTTGATAATTAAATTTAAAGTTCGGAGAACTCAAGTGTACAACATCTTAAAAGCCAAGACAAAATCAAGGACAAGTGGTTAGATGTTTTTTATATGTAGTTGCCACAATATTCACATGGACATAGGCAAATAGCTAAAGCCTAAATCTCATCTGTTCCTACAAATATTGAAGAAAATAATACTTTTTTTACTTTTTATGGAGTTCTTTGTTTCATTAGACTTAGTGTTGCATTTCTGCATGACATTTTCTTTGACCCGCCCAGGACGTCTTTCGTTCTTCGAAATCTCGGTAAGATAAACTACTCATACAATCTATTCCATCTTGGAACAATTGTATTTTTGGAATTGACAGTTTTATTTTGAACCTAAATGAGATGGAAACCTCTAGACTGAACAAAATGTTGGACCCAAACAATTACCACTTAAACAAGTCTTACTGTACAAGTAATTCACATCTTTCTTAAAAAAGATTATCTCTTCTACTGCTAATCAGTTATTTTCTGCTCTTGAACATAAAATACACAAAAAACGTAGTTGTGTAATTAAGCAAATGTTTTTAAAATTGCAATATGGTTGCAATCTGCTTTGTAGTAACTAAAGACCAGATTCACATGTTACTACATCTTTCCTTTGCTAATTTAAAATTGGATAAAACCTTGACAGAAATTTGAATCATGAAATTGAAGTTATTTTAGTATTTGTTTTATTTTGCACCAACTTGAATGTTGGGGGATTACTGCATAAAAGTTCATGTTTTGGGTAATGCAGCCTGAAAATTGCACATTTTGGTGTTTTACTGAACGAATTTGCACTATAGTTTTATTGCATAAAATATAATGTTTATATTATCAACTTGTTTCAATTAACAGATTTTCAATTTAAGAAAAACGTTTTTATGACAACCTGGCAGTGCATTCGGTTGGTCTGTGAAACCCAAGTGCTATTTAATAAGTATCAATTCTGCATTTTGTTGCCCTAAGATCTGAGCATCTATTCGATTCAAGATGCCTATTGCCAAATTAAAATTTCTCAGTGATGGTAGTTGGGTAAAGGGAATATGGTGTTGCCGCAAACACAAGTCTGTGGCTCTTGGTTGTGGTCGCTTAAACAATGGTATGTCCATGGTCGATCTTTCAAATCGAATCATACATTCATTTTGTCGCTAAACTTCCCAAACACAAAATTGGATGTGTGAGTCACATTTGACCTTACATTCAGGCTTGAACCTTAGTGGCAAGCTGTAATGGGTTTCAAATTCATTGGATTTCCTGGAACAGATATTGCCCCTTGAAAATGAGAGTGAATGAATGCTTTTAGCTGCATGCGAGTCAGAATGAGACTCATCACACAAGTGTGTGTTAATAAAGGACAAAGATTTTTCAGTCCGAAACTTATATTAGATGAAAGAAGATATAGTCATTTTACAGAAAGTAATTTGGGAATCTACATAATTGCAAATTATAATGAAAAAATTAAGAACATTTCTGGTACAACCGATTTTTTTTCTGAAGGTATTTTTGTATTTTTTGTACTTACTTCTTTGTATTTTTTTGGATTAATTAATTTTGTGTGAATTATATTTAAAATTACAAGTACAATTTGCATAATTTATATGCACAAACTAATTATAATAAAACACTAAAATTATAATATTCTATTCACCTTAAATTTCCCAACAAAAATGAAATATAAGTTGAAAGTGGATTAACTGGAGTTTTTAGGCTACATAACACCATTTTGCAAAATTTTAATGTTTTTATTGCATGTCTTTTGAATAATTTTTGTGTTTTTACTACATGTTTTAGAAACTTTCACTGCATGGGAATCTGGTCTTTAGTAGTAACAAAAAGTCAAAAAATGTTTTGTCAATGCTCTCTGGATCATTAAGATGCCTAAAGAACGATAAATTTGCAAATTCTTTGGATTGTTTCTACAATTTATAAGATCACAGGAATTTTTGCATATTGTTGTTATCATGCATCGATGTTTGCAGAAAAGGCCATGTCCACACAATTTGACAATGTCAAGTGAAGAGTGGATAAATTGATTCAACTCTCATTGCATCAAAATTGAATGATATAAAGTAAACCACATATAAACAGTATTTAAACAAACACCATTTCCAATTATTTCCATTTATTTCGATTTACCAATACGATGTTAAAAATTAAGATAATGATCCTTGATGAAAACTTATGTTTGTACGTGAATCATTTATAGTTTTTCAATATATCTTGTTTAAGGGTTTTCATTTTTAATTCAGAGAAGGGATGTTTCTTACAGATAAAAGAAGTACATGTAGCTTCTTTTCCGTACCGTCCTTTATTTAATATCTTTTATTTCTCTTAGTAGTAGTTATATTGGTGTCACAAGCTGTAGCATTAACAACTTGCTGTATCATATCTCTACCAAACTTTGTGAATTTAAATCTCTGTATCTGCTACATTATGAACAATTTATTGACAAAATATCCATTTTGTCTCTTTCTCACTACGGAAAATTTTACTCTTCTCTTTTCATTACCTTCAAAGACTTCGATTGCTGAAGAAGGATTTTTATATTATAAGTTACTCTTATAAATCCAGAATTAGACCCACTTTGGCTCTTTCATTCTTGTCATTGTTAAAAAACAAGAAAGAATGCAGATAAGGGTAACTAAGCACATGCTGTAACTACAGAGGGAGGGAGCCACTCAATGAGTGATGGAATTCTTTTCTTCAAAATATCAAACTCTCCCTCATCAAATTTTCATTTAAACTCTTTAAATTTCCAATTTTTTAAGCATTTTAGGATATTTTTAACATTGTCCAGTACACTGAAGTCAATGGTTTAGATGAAAATTAGATAATATAGTATTCAATGGTCTAAATAATGACTCTTATTATCTAACACCATTTTTATGTAAAGAATGAGGTCACTGAAAAAAAATTCATATAAAATACTTACGGAAATGCAGCCATTGTTGCAAGTTTAACAAATATATCTCTCTTAGGTTTTTCTGCAGCTGAAAATGCTTGAGGTGGAGGCAACTTGTGACGACTGCAAAATGTAGTCGGTTGAAGCAAGTAATCTTGTCTTACTTCTTCTAAATCACTTTTGTTTGACACAATAAGTACAGGGATTTTGCTTTCAGCAAAATATTTCTGTTGACAAATTAGTTGGTTAGATAACAATAATACATAAATCTATGACTACATTTAAGAGTTAGTCATTTAATAAAACTTACCAGGTAAATACGTGCAATATATTCGAAAGATTTTGGATCATTAACATCATACACCAAACAAGCAACATCACAAAGAATTTCTGCAGGCATCAGAGGTTCTGTGACATTTCGTACATCAATGTCTCTTAACACTAAAAATTTCTCTTGTCCATAAACTTGAACCACGTTAACAGTACACTGAGTTGTGTTCTCAATTAGTTTAGTTTTCATATCCTAAACACAAAACAATCTTGCATCTAATGATATTTCAATAATATCTTCAAAACAATCAAAGAAAAATACTAACTTCCAAAGAATATCCAAGGAAACTGTGACAGAATACTGACTTTCCACAACCTTTCTGTCCAATAACGTGACACTGATAAACATTCCTACTTGTCTGCTTTTTCACTAAATCTAATCTCTTCTCTCGTGTAACTGCAATAAAAAATAGAAATGTTTTCTGCAATTACAAAATGTTTGGCTTAAATATTTCACTAAACACCTCTATTCATACTTCCATTAAAAAACAATTCTTACATAATAAAGAAGAAAAAAAAAAAAGATTCTAATTTTGTAATGAGAAATATAAATATTGAAAAATAATTATTTCGATACATTTTTATTAACTTTCTGCACCCCTTAATGGACAAGCCTAGCAACTGTACTGTGTTTAAAATGTCTTTTAATTATGAATTTACATAGCACAAATATTTTTTTTAAAAACGACAATACCTGTCATTGGAACCATGGTAAGCTAGTTTCCATGTATTCAAGAGCACTTGTGCAATTTGAGACAACTTCACATATGCAGATAAATTTGTACAAATAATTTTACAATGCAGTGTTAGTGTTTGATTTTTACTGATGATCAGAGAAATGCTTCAAAAGAAGGAAACAATCAGTTGCAACAAGTTATTAAGAGCAAAATAAAATGAAATTTTTTTTTGTTACTTCAAGTCTATCATTAACATTACTGCTCATATTTTGCAATATTTCAGAAGCTGAACTTTGTATTTTTTAACTGAAAAGTTAATTTATTTCTAATACTGTTGTCACAGTAATCATTGTTTCACAGAGCATAATACAGAACTCTTCAAAATCGTTTGTAGAGAAGAAAACTCTTGTTTTAGGGTATGCCACAGAAGATACTTAATGCAAACCATGTACCATTGAATGTTTCTTTTCCTCCAAAATTATTTCATAAGAAATAATGAACTGACAAGAAACTACACATTTTACATAATTTAGATTTATTTATTCAGCAAAGAGAGTTGTATTGGATCCATGGTAACTAATGACCCTTTTATGTTTCTATTCCTGTTGCTCAAATAGTAACTAGAGTTTATAAGGAAATACTTAAAGAGTACAGTCCTGTCAAGAAAATGCGTGCTGCGTGCACATAATAAAAAATAAAGTACTGAAGAAAAGCAGTTTGATTGGTTCCTTGGTTGTTAGTGATTCCGGGCATGTCAACTACTGTTATTAGTCCTGTAAGTGTAGAGCATGTTTTTTTCCTCAGAAAGAGGTGGTGATCTTTCCCTGCTGGATAGTGAAATCCAATGCCAACCTACCGTCAGCTAGCGGGATTTCCCCTCAATCAGGTATCTTCCATCAACAGTGCACTGCCCCAGCTGGGAAAAGCTCTAAGCTCCTGACCAGTCTCCTGGCATGAGTGCTTGTGTGGTGTGAGTTAGTGCATATTAGTGTAAATGTGGGTAAGGGGTGAGGATAGGACAAAGAAGAGGACGGAAAGATTGTCTGGGGAAGTGGCCCATAAGAGTACTGCTCCTGCATTCGCCTGGTGTTTATGAAAGAAACCACGAAAAACTACTGACCAGAGCAGCCGGCCGCAAGAATTCTCCTCTAAACAGTGACTGAATTCAACCTAACTGACAAACTAGTGTTGAAAATCGTGCCACTGTCGGGACCCTAACATAGGACCTGCCGGTCAGAGGCACTGAAGTGACATCAGTTGATGCACTGAGCCACCTCTCCCGGTAAAATCAGTTTGGAAGCAGATGTGTCCAGCACCTGTTCTCATTACAATCATTAAAATTGGATGTCAGATTGTTAGTCTTTTGGAATCACATATATACCTTCTATATTATAATTATTTGTTCATCATCCACATTTTTCTTTATAATTCAAAGGAATAATCATTGTGAAATAAATTATACCGACATTCAAAGGAGTTTACAGAATTTTACCTTGAATTGCTGTCAGTTGATTTTCATTTTCAGTTATATTGTAACCAAGATATGCCAGGTATGCAAGTGTTTTGTGAACTTCCAACAAAGTGGTTAATACCCAGTAACACATATAACCTTGAAGTGTAATCCAACCCTTAAAAGAAACAGGAAGAAAAACATGATATTTTTTATAATTATTTTAGATCAATACTTCATTACTCTGTTAACCCATTATATAACAATAATATTAAGGACTAGGTAGAGAAGCCCTCCAAGATGGGTATTTTACGAAGAAAAGACACAAAATACAACATACAATTAAAGAAGATGTATTATATTTGTACTTTAAGTGGAATAAAAAAAGAAAGCATAATTTAACATTAACAAGAATTTATAAAATTAGGAATCTACGTCCAAAGCAGCATGGCTAGAGCTATCTAGTTTGAAACCTTCATCGCCAAAATGTTATCTTGTTGTTTTATACTGCTAGACTACTTAAAAGCACCAAAAAAATGCTTGTAAGAGTGATTATTTTAATAAAAAGTAGTACTGTTCTTCTTAGCCTCATATCCCAAGTCAGTTTTATTGCAGACAAATCACCATTTGCTTTACATTGACCTTCACCTCTGATTAAATCAACAGTATATAGCAGTTAAGCATAGATTTGGAAGAAGATTCAAATCATCACAAGGTATGAATATGCCCTAGCCAGGAGCATATAATATGATTGACAGATGAATCAACATCTAGCTTTCAGTAATTCTGGATTATTTGTTTATATGTTTTGTTTCCAAAGTTTAAGTCTATTAAGGAAAAAAAGTACTAATTTTACACACTTCTATTGACGAGAAATAAACGTCCTCAAATTACTACACTGGGCGTTAATGGTTTAAGATAGTACACAGTATAAGTAATAAGAGATTAATTGTTATTCAATTGTTTTTCAATTTACAGAGATGCTTATGACAGCAGAAAAGAAAACTTACAATAAATATAGAAAAAGGAGACAATGTCAGGAGGAATGCCAGACAATATAATCTTCACGAACGACATTATTTCACAGATTTGGACCTGTGACTCTGTGTCTCGAATATTTCTTTAGTTAATTATGATATTCCTAATTCTTTTCTTTGATCTGCTTGGATACCATTAACCACTCTATTTCAATTTTATTTGAGTCTTTGTGAAATAATGGCAACTCTTTTGAAAGTAAAAAAAAACAACTAATATTGCAACATGCTATTAAATTGCTAATTAAATATGTTATTGTATAGTTCATAAGAAGAAAAGAAAATAAGAGAAAAAAGAAGAAAAAGAGAAAAAAGAAGAAAAAGAAAAAAACGAGAAAAAGGGAAAAAACGAGAAAAAGAGGAAAAAAGGAGAAAAACGGAAAAAAACGAGAAAAAGGGAAAAAAACGAGAAAAAGGAAAAAAAACGACAAAAGGGAAAAAACGAGAAAAGGGAAAAAAACGAGAAAAGGGAAAAAAACGAGAAAAAGAAACGGGGGAAAAAAAGAGAAAAAGAAAAAAGGGAAAGAAGAGAAAAAGGGGAAAAAAGAGAAAACCGAAAAAAGACGAGAAAAAAGAAAAGAAAAATTGAAAAAAAGAGAAAAAGAGAAGAAAAGAGAAAAAGAAAGAAAGAAAGAAAGAAAGAAAGAAAGGAAGGAAGGAAGGAAGGAAGGAAAAGAAAGAAAGAAAGATCCAACAACAATGACAACAACACTTGTTATCAATTCTATTATTCACTGAAAGAGAAGCAATTCTAGCATGAACATTTTTTGAAACATGTTAAAAAAAGTTAGAGACAGTACTAAAATTCTAATTTTACAGAATAGTTACATTAAAAATTGAAGATATCTGGAGACCAATTCATCATATAGAGGAAAAAAATTTAAAAACTGGCAAGAGTTTATGAGTAGAGTGAAAGTAGTACAATACCGAAGGCTAATAACGAAAAACAATCCAAAGTAAAATACAAAAGGCAGACTAAAAAATGAGAAGTGACAGTGATACCTAATGTAACACAAGTAGATACCTAATGTAACACATCATAACAACTTAACCTGCAAGTGATTCATAATAATGATTCATTTTGGCTACAGATTTCTCTTTTCAGAAAATTTAATGAACTATCTCATAATTCAACTAGTAATAAACAACGTTAAATTACCTTACTATTGGTGACAACGATTTGACTGGCCTCTGTGCCCCAGAGAGGACTAGGGCATGTTGCAAAAAGTGACTGAAGTTCATTAGGGCTTAGAGCACCATCACCATCTTCATCATGCTTCTCGAAGAGCACTGAGAGAAATTGGTGACCTCGATGTGACAATTCTGTCGTGCAGCCTGGAGGTACTTTTAACCTATATAATTACATTAACAACTAATATTTTTTTGCATTATATCTTAATTCAAACAATTTCAGATAATATTTAAGGAAGCTTTAATTTGTGGACAAGAAATAGATATCTAAGTCTTATATTGAAAATTACTCAATAGTTACTATCTGCAGTAAAAGTATACTTCAATTAAACATTATTTGAATCTTAACTATTTTAAAGCAAGTTAGCTTAGAGAGGTTGAAAAGGAGTTAATATAATTTGAGGTAGAAATTTTCAACTTCATTTAACAAACCCATTTCCAAACCTCGTTATTTTTTGGACAAAAGAAGGCTTTAAGAAAAATTAATTTATTTTCCCTCAGCCAAAGGTAGTTTGTTTTTTCAAGAATGTAAAAATACCTCCACAAATATATTTAAACACTTTTTGCACTTATTTAAGTAAACTTCCATTATAAAAGAAATTCCTGATATCAGTCTGGTTGTGCAGGAAGCTTGAGGCATGGACTTATTAAGTAACCAAGTGTTTGTTCAAGAAATGGTCTCAGCTGGGACAGGGACAGCCATTGAATTAACAGTTATATACCAATGCCGTTCCAGTATCAGGAGACCAAGAGGAAAGGGGGTGGGATGGCAGATCCCAAAATAATTGTATATAAGAACTAATGACATGATTAGCAAAACAAGACGATAATTTTCTGCATGTTTGTGTTTAAATATTTTGTTTTTGAAGTAGGACAAAGGCATAAATGCTATGAACACATTCCGTACTTGCGGTCCTTTCTGCAGGAAAGTGGGTGGTGACAAGTCCTTTTTTGAAGCACTTGTTCAACTTTCACAATGCAGCTCTGATTGCATGTTGTATCTTTACATTACAGATATTAAAACAAGAATTTAATGTGTTCATGAGCAGGTGTGGTTGTAAGAGAATGCCAGAGTTTCCAGAAAATTGATTACCCTTGACAACTATTTAAAATTTTTTTGAAGACACCAAATAAGAATTGGAAGACGAAATTATCACTATGGTTTCAGAAAGCTTCTGATGATAAAAGTCTTAAAAATTAAAAAGAAACTCATTGCTAGATATTGAAAAAAACTATGCCTGGGCCCGTTGACCTCCACCTGCACTCTTCGGTATGTACTGTATGTACTGTTAAAAGGTATGAAGAATTTAAATTGGGAATCCATCCACCCTGGAGATCATTCTACTTGGAAATTAATCAATATATACTACATAATCAAAAACATTTTTTTTTACATATTAAAGGACAAAAAATGTTTATGATAATCTAAGATTTTTTTTTGTTGCACACATTTGTACAAGAGACATCATGCTACATTTTTAAAGCAATAAAGGACAAAGTTCATTAACTTACGAAGGATAGAGGTAATCTTTGGCTACTTGTAAAGTATTGTCGTAACCAAATTTACGAAGTACAGTCCATGTTGTCTCATTTCTTCCTCGTTGAATAAAAAGGCAATGTAAGAAAAGAAAACCTAAAAAAAAAAAATTAAAATTGAAAAAAATATTATGTAAATATTAATTTAATAATAATATATAACAAACCTCTCAGCGTGATACTGTCTCTGCAAACACCATCAGGGAGATTTTTTTGTAAAACCGCTTTTACATCATCCAAAACTTGTGGTTGTAAAGGAGCATTGAAACAACGTTTTTGAAAATTATTTAATTCAATATCATTTAATAGTCCATCATTATCTGTGTCACAAATCTTGAAAGAAAAAAATGAATTAATGAAATATTCAGGTTGCTGTTAAGAAAAATTAACCAAGAAAAATATTACTAGAAATAAATACCTTAAATATTCTTATTAATGCATTTTGGCATGCTTCAGTTAGCTGGAACAAAGGATATTTGGAATCATTTTACTGTACATTGAATTTCACACATTTACAATTAAACTTGCATACAAAAGACCACAGTTACTCACTTCTCTTTGATCTATGATATAGAGAGGAGATGTAGGATGTAAAACAGCTTTCTGTGCATAATAAAACATTTCAGAAATGTTTTTTAGAGTTTTAGCTGAACACTAGAATACGAAAGAAATGTTAAACTTATTTATTGAATTAAATTTTTATCACATATCAGCAAAAATATTTTTATGAAATTGTCATTGTCAGAAAATTCTAACCTACCTCGATACAACTTTCAATTTCTGGATATTCTTCCATTATACTGTACGCAGCCTGGAACATAAATGAAAACACATATAATAACATAATATATTTCATATTATAATTGAGATATATTGCTACATACATCAATAAGTGAGTAGTCCACTAGATCTACTTTGTTACCCACTAACAGGACAGGGCATGGCTGTCCTGGAGAGGCAACTCTGATAAGAGGCAACCACCTTGTGGTTACTTTGTCCAATGTTTCTTCGTCTTCTACTGAGTATACAATGCATATCACATGAGCACGATGAATCTCTTCCATTAACATTTCATCAGTCTGTTCAGCAGCTGTCAAGAAGGGTAAGAACTGTTATGAAAATATTCATTTCTAAACATTTGAACAAATATATACTTTTTACCTGAATAGTCAACTATATGAGTGGGGACTTGTTCGGGGGTAACATCCGGAGGTATGGTAATTTCTTCCGCTTTCGCTGGAACATCATCAGGGAATTCTTCACTGACAAGTGATAAAATTAAAGATGTTTTGCCGACACCTCGTTCACCAACAAGCAAGATGCGCACATTACGATTCATACCCATACGAAACACCATCCCTCAAAAACCCAGTTCTATGTTTATCAATTGTCACTATATTATGACAACATTATATTACGGGTGAAAACAAAAATAAATTAGCAAGTCACCACTTGGTCTAAATCTGCCCGGTCAATATTTGCTTCTCAGGCCTGACATTTACTTCGATAATAACTAAAAACGACAACTGATCTTTCTAAAGAAATGGTTCACTCCAATACTCGCTAGCACAAAATATTCACACCAACACAGCCTTCATCAATTCAATATTAAAGAAATATAGTTTGAAGAGTCTCAGAAGTAATAGTAATCCTCTGAGCCCCCAGCATTGACAGCGTACCCCCAAGGCTGAATATCGAATGAACCCCTAGATTCGATTATCGAAGTACCGCAGTGCTGCTCTCTATGAGTGGTAGACGAAATGTTTAATGAATTGCAAAGCACTTCTTTTTACCGTGATTTGTGGATATTGAAAATGCCTCGATAATACTATCACGAATTTTCGGTCGTAAAATTCGTGTTTAATATTATTTTGTGCCGTAACTTTGCACACACGTCAGAATTAAGATCTATTAGTGCTGTTCGAAAGATGGTTAAGATTGGTGCTGCCGGCAAGGAGATACACGCAATTTTGTGTCTAAAATTTGCCATGTCTGAAAGGATGGATGCACGGATGTGTGAAAGTAATATGTATCACGCGTAACTCTGTCAGATTAAAAGCTTTTTATCGAATGCCAATTAAAGAAGTCAAGAGTAAGATCTAGTGCCGTTTTGGAAAGCATTTTTAAAACATGCATAGCGTGCTAAAAGTTCAAATTTTAGCACTAGTGCTGAAGTGCGTCGATGTTCAATGTTCAGATAAAATATTGTGAACGCAACAAAGAACAAAACATATTTATCTGTCCGCATCATCTACAACTGAACTAAATGTAGGAGTGTGAATTACCTATGAAAGAAACTTTTCCTACTGCGCGCACAATTTCAAGTGGTGTGGGCGGTCGCCGCTAGAGGGCATTGGTGGGGATGTGAGTGATAGTGGTGAGCAGGCGGCGACTGACTTGTTCGGAAATGGTCAGCAATAGCAGTGAAGATGTCGGAGCAACCGGTGCACCCTGCTGCGCAACGCATGATTATTATATATCTTACTCATGAAGGAGTAAAACCAATAAAAAGTTTGCGAAGATTAACTGCACGATTCGGGGATAAACTACTGTGAAGGGCTCGCGTGTTCGCGTGGCATAAGGAGTTTAAGGTAGGAAGTAAACGTGTTGAAAATGAGGATCGTCGTCCTCGGACCAGCGTAATGGAGGAGAACATGCGTTCGATTCGTGCACTTGTTGAAGAGGATTGACGTCCGACAGTTTCAGACATTGCAGCAGAAGTTGGAATAAGTTATGGGAGCTGTCAAGCAATCGTGACCAAAGACCTAGGGTTCCGTAAAGTGTGTGCCAGGTGGGTCCCTCTCCTCTTGACAGCAGAACAGAAGTTGAGACGTTTGCAGGTCTGTCAGTTTAGAGAAAATGAGATAGACTCCTCTTGAATATTCTCCATATAGCCCGGACCTACCACCCTGCGATTTTCATCTGAATGAGCCGCTTAAAAAAGCACGATTGCAACGATACCAAGACAATGCCGGAGTAGAGGCCGTTGTGCAAAACGACTCATGGTACAATCCAGTTCCTTTTACGACGCCGGGACTACAAATCTCCCAATCCGCTGGTCAAAATGCTTTTCTAAAGCAGGAGATTTTGTATAAAAATGATAAATTAACGTGGTTGCTACATTACACCAAATACTTTTTTAAATAGTGTTTCATTTACCAACGTACAATTTTCAGAAACACCTGTCCAACCTGTGTCACAAGTTTCTTTCTCAATGAAAATTATCCCTCAACTGAAAAGCGTTATAGAAGACGCGATAGGTCTGAAAAAAAAATGTAAAATTAAGCAATGTTGCTCTTTTAGACAGCTTTGCACCATTTCAATTTCACAGTGTGATGTTTGCATTGAGCCGAACTTAGGACGCCGAAAACCTAACATCATTTTTCTTACATTCCACCAGAGGTGGGTTTTCGGATCTTTTATTTAGGGGAGGCGGATAAGTATTTATTATGAAAATTTAAAATTACCGTTTCATAAAAAAATGAATGTAAATTCTGTTTGTTTAAATAATATTAATTTTAATAAAAAGGTACGAAAAATAGTATGCAATATGCTTGTATTAAAGTATTTACTTCTTCCTTTTTTGTATTTTACCATAAAAACATTGGGGGTCCCTTGATACCGAAAAAGTTTTTTAACGCCCGTCCGTTTGTCAACACTCTACATTACTAGTGCCTAAAACATGCATAGGACATTTGCACATTGAAGAAACCCCACCCCTGTCTATGGGGGGATCGAACCCTGATCTCAAGCACACGTATCATGCACACAAAGTAATGAGCCACATCGTTCGGTTTTGTTCTTCTTTAATATTTTCAAAGAAACATTTCGGTTCTGCTATTACGAAATCTATACTGGGCCTCTGGGCTAGCTATTCCGACTTGTGACCTGCCATCTATCACCACCTAAAGTACTTTTTGTTCTCAAATTTTCGGCTCCGAACAGTAAAACGAAAATATAGAGTATTAAAGAAGAATAAAACCTCGTCCCAAATGAAAATTTTATTGAAAAATTTGGAGCCGTTTCTAAGAATATGACTTTTAAACTTTACTGTAAATGCGAAACTTGAAGCTCTTTTTCACAGAAATTGTTTGATTTTCGATATAATTCATTTGAAGCAAGAGCAATAATCTATACGAACCGCTGGAAATGTGCATAGGTACGGCGGGAGAGATTAAAAAATATCATTTGT